AGTCCCAGAGTCCCTCTGACCCCATGTGGCAGGGGAGGGACCCTCCTACCTTGGGGGTCTTTGGTGGAGCCCCTGGGTGCTGGCAGCCCGTGCGCAGTGGGTTGGGGGACCGGGGAGAGCTGAGGGGACTGACGTTGGTGCGCACCATGCTGACGGTCGCCTTTCCCCGAGCCCAGGTGTGCGAGATCATCGAGAGCCCCCTCTTCCTGAAGCTGAACCCCATGACCAAGCACACGGATGTGAGTACCCCCCCCCAACAGCCTGATCCAGAGTACCCCCCACCCCAACAGCCTGAAACCAGCCCCCCGCCGGCCCCAAGGAGCGAAGTGTGGCTCGAGGACGTCCATCCTCCCTGCAGCTTTGGCTGTGTATGGAATTTCCCTTCACTTCCACCGCTCAGTAGCCGTCGTGCCCCCCCAGAGGGGCTGCATCTCAATGCCAGGTGAGGGGGTCCCTGTCTGAACAGCCTCCATGCTCCACCGCAGAGCCAGCTGCATCTCCGCACCGGTGAGGGGTCCCTGTATGAACAGCCCCCATGCTCCACCCCAGAGCCAGCTGCATCTCATCGCTGGGCGTGCGTTCCACCATGCCCCATCCTAGCGGCAGCTGCGTCTCAGTGCCAGGCGAGGGGTCCCCGTATAACCAGCCTGGTGCCCCACCCCAGAGGGGCCGCGTCTCAGCATATCCTACCCCTCTCGCTGTGGGGCGAGGGCGTCTGTGGGCAGCGTTATCAGGGTGTTTCTCACTCTCTGTCCCCAGCTGCCGGTCAGTGTCTTTGAGTCGGTGATCGACATCATCAATGGAGAGGTAAGTACCCTACACCCCGCCCCCCAGCTCCACCCCGTGCTGTGCGTGTTCCCAATCCCCCCTGATGCTCCCTCGCCCCCAGGCCACCATGCTGTTCGCGGAGCTGACCTACACGCTGGCCACGGAGGAGGCGGAGCGCATTGGGGTCGACCACGTGGCCCGAATGACGGCGACCGGCAGCGGGGAGAACTCCACGGGTGAGCTTTGGGGGGGGGAACCCCCCCAGGGGTGCGTGTGCAGGGGACGCTGGGAGTGGGGGACTTCAGGGGTGAGCGTTAGGGGGGAATGGGGGGACCCCCCCTAGGGGGGCATGTGTGGGGGACGCGGGATTCCAGGGGTGAGCGTGGGGGGGTATGACCCCCCAGGGGGGCATGTGCGGGGGATGCTGGGAGCGGGGGACT